GCCCCCCGGGAAGGCGAGGTCGGGGCCGGGGTCTGCCCGCGGCTCTGCTTTGCTGCTGCACCGGGGCTGAGCCTTTGTGGGAGCCTCAGGGGTCCCCAATTTGGGCACCGGCACCAAGTGGGGCTCAGAGCCCTCGGCTGCGCATCCCTCCGCCAGCTCCAGCCCCTCACCGCCTGGCCATCTCCCTACCTCTGCTTGGGCTTTTCTTTTTGTCCTACAACCCCAGCAGCCACCGCTATTTCCATGGGAACCCTCCTGAGATCAGCAACGCATCTACTAGGGTCACCCAGCCTCCTTCTCCCCCGTGCCCTATATTCCAAGCCCGGCCGCTGCACGGGTCTGGTTACGGGTGACCTTTCCCCAGGGAGGCTGCCGCTCTTTGGAAGGGAGCAGAAGGTGCCGGAGCTTGGGGACGCGTCCAAGACCCACCAGAACACGCCGCTCCGCTGGCTTTGCGCCACGATACGGGCGTTCAGCCGCTTTCCTGGGTTTCTGATGAGTTGATTGCAGCAAGCACACGCCGAAGATGGGAGAAAAGGAGTGGATGCAGAAAGTCCTGAGAGCACGGCACGGCACGAGCCTGCTCCGGGAGCTGCATCGCGCTGGGCACGGGGATGGCGTCTCCAAGAGAGCTCTCACCACCCCTTGCCTGGATGACTCAAGGAATTGGGGATTAAAGAGATATCTCAGGCTTTCGAAAAAAAAAAACAGGCTTTCTGTTAATTGAATCCCAAATGCTAAAAGGAATCAAGAGACACGAAAAATGTTGCAAAAGAAGTAGGGGGTGGGGTAAGGAAACAAATAAACCCACCCCTCCGGTCCCCGGTGACAAAGCAGCCCACTTCTGCATCGTATCTCATCTGGGAAAAATTATATGTTGTGAATTACATGCTTCTTTTGAAAAGCCTTAAAGGAGATTTAATAAAATGAGACAAGCTAATAATATAGGGAATGAATAGCAACCCTGGATGCTGCATCTTGATTTAATCAGATGCTTTTCCCCAGGGGGACGAGCAAGAGCTATAGCTAAAGCCTCCCTTCCCCACCCAGCTGCTCCCCTCTTCCTCCGCCCCCCCGCTCCTCCCCCCATCCTAAGGGAGCAGCCAGGGCCGGATTTGGGGTGCTGAAAGACCCCGCTGCTCACCAGCAGCCGCTGGGAATGCGCAGCCCATGCTGGTTATTGGTGAGCAGGCTAACGAGCAGCACGCCGGGGTGCCGTACACCGCACGGGGAGAGGGTCCCGGTCTGAAGACCAGGTCCTGGGGGAGAAAAGCAGGAACTGGGGAGCCAGGGAAGCTGGGCCGGGGAGCTGGCTTGGCTGCGTCCGGAGCCAGGGCACGCTGCATGCTGCTGTGCAGGGACCAAGCCCTTGGTAGGATGCGAAGCATCTTAACGGTGAGGAGAAGCAGCTCGTGTGGGTCGTGCTCCTCTCCACGGCCTGGGAGAGGCCGCGGGATCTGCGTGTGCCGGGGTGGGAAAGGCACCAACGGCTGTTCCAGTCCCGGCTTTTTCACCGCTTGGA